TCTCCCAGCAGGACGAGACAAAAACAATAAAACCCATTACAAATGAGGCATTTGTTGCATCCAGTGGGGACATAATCACTGATTATAATGACTTATACTGTTTTTTTTATGCGTTGTGTTGTATCGCGCCGCATAAAACCATGTCTGCATTTGTGATCGGAGAAACAACAAATCCTTGCAAAGTTGGAACTGCCCCACTTTATAGAAACAGCCTTGTGCCACAGACGCATCAGGCTACTGGTTCAGGAAACAGTCCTCGTCCTCCATAAAATGCGCTGGACACATCTGAATATTTGGGTTGAAGTGTTCTAGAACAGTGTTGTAAATACAACTTAACCACTGATTTCTAGTCGTGTCCTCTTTTGGAAGGCCAAACAAAGTCTCCACAACATGGCGGCAACAGTGAGAATAAAAGTTACGCCTTCTTTCCTTGCGTGATCATTTGGGAGGTGTTATGCAAATCTTCCCACATAGTGAGGTAGACATGTGGGGGCATGTTAGAACGAGCCGTTTTAGGTAGGCGTGGTTGACTCTTAACTTTTATAAAGAATATCTCTTTGGATTTGAGACTTTAGTCTTTGCAACTTTACAGATCTTCTTTATGCACCAAGAGCTTGTAACACTCCAAAGAGAAAGGAAAAATTGAAATCGCATCATATGACCCCTTTAAATGCCATGTGCCCATTTTCACTTACTTACTTCTCACTATAATCTGCAGCTACTGTTTGATATAAATCATTTCTGTATTGCAGCGGAAGGAATTTCGTCAGAAAATGCAGTCCATTTTCCCCGCCATTCCCAAAAATGAAGAGGCTCAAGAGAATTCTGCTCCATTTGATTGGAATTCCATCTTCAAGTCAAAATGAGAAACAATTACAGTCTATTATCAAGAACGCACAGCCTTAACTGACTGACTGGAAAGATTATTTATCAGATGGTCAGTCTGGTTAAGTGTGAGGCAACCAGTCGGTTCAATCAGCCAATTTTAGATCCAGTATCAAGTTTGAGGTCACAGCACTGGAAAATGCCTCGATGAAGGCCTGGACAATTCAACATGGTTGTTTGTCTCAATTTCTTGTGCCACACTGGAATTTTCACAGCCTGAGCCACGAGACTTTGACTCTGCACTTGCAGTCACAAGTGTGGAAGTTTTATGTTTGTACGTACTGTACTATCTCAGTTATTTAATTAGCTTTTTTTTTTTTTGGCAACCATACTTTTGGCACATTTGTGTGGGCCTAGCAAATAATATTACTGCCCTTTGGCTGGTGGTGTTTATACATTAAATATCAAACTAAAGCAGCCACTGTGTTAAAGTGGCATCATGTGATGACAAGGTCTAATAAAAGCTTCAAGGGACAGAGGATGAAAACATGTGCCCTGCAGTGACTGAAGAACAGCTACAGAACGACAGCCTTGCATCAGTGTGCGTCAGTGAGCATTTTCTGTGCATTTAGGGTCGTGTAATCTGGTTAAACTGGATGTGACAGAAGCAGCACAGAGCACTGGATAGACAGGAAAAAAACGTTAACAAGAACCCATTAACCTTAACTGCCAGGAAACTCTGTCTTTTGCTTTTTAAATATTACAATATTGAGGATATACATGGTAAATTACATTTTTTTGGGCACTCTGACACGAAAAAAAAATAACAACACTGAAAAACGACGTTCACAGTGCTCGACCAAATTTCATGTACATTTACTTTTAACATGTGGAACATGTATAAAGACTTTATACTGAATAAACAATGGTCATCAAATCATATGGAACAAAAGGAGCTTACATAAAGAGTTGTACATATTTTTTGTTAAAATCATTAAGTCGTTTTGGGGTAACGTTCACATTGAATTACATTTATTCCATCAGACGTCTTTCAGTTAGCTTGTAATTTCCAAACTCTAAGGCCGTTAGAGGGAGCCACAGCTATCTCTGGCACACAGAACTCTATTATAGGTCACACAGGAACGTCTTTGGGGGCGTTCGTTCACACAGGACAAATTCTTGCATTCAACCCTCTACATTGCGAGTAAATCACTCGCATATGCGACTAAATCTTCACTCTGGCGACTACATGATGTCTAATATTAGCCAATGGCTAATAAATTCTCAGATTTTACTCGCCAGTGTGTGAGTTGGAGGCTAAGTATTACGTTTAGCAGATATATTTTCACTCCCAATTGCTAATAAATTCTCAGATTTTACTCACCAGTGTGTGAGTTGGAGGCTGAGTATAAGTTTAGCAGTTAGCACAGATATATTTTTACTCGTCGAACACACTGACTGAGCGCTTCAGAGTTTCACTCTCAGTCAAGTGATCTGTGCTATTTTTCAGTTCATCTCAATGGATGCGCAACGCACCTGTATTTAACGTACCGTAAACTCTAGTGTGAAAGCGCACGACTCGCCGTCACTGTCTCTCACACACACACAGAGAGAGAGAGAGAGAATTGACGCGCTACATATAAACAGTATTCTTTATTGTATTTTCTTGTCAAAATAACAGTAAGATTTCTAGCATGGACAGTCAGTTTTTAATTTTTTATCTGTTGCTATTTGATAGAATCCACAATGCCATGCATCTAAACAAGATGTTCAGGACCTCCGGCAGAAAAATACACCAACATTAAAGATCCAGCAGTATATTTCATTGTACACACAGGGTACTTTTTTACTCCAGTGTGCACCAAACCCATCATGAGTGTTTGCTGCTAAAAAGCAAATTTTTAGTTTTATCTGACCATAGAACCCAGTCCTGTTTGAAGTTCCAGTAGTGTCTGGCAAATTAATATGCTGGAGTAGAAAATCGTGCGATTAATTAGTTAATGTTTCGATTGACAGCACTAATATATACAGTATATAGTATTTCAGTCTGGCGAGTAAACTAAAAAAATTACTAGCCAATGGCGATTCAATCGCCAAGGTGTCCGTAGAGGGTTGTGCATCCTTCGGAACTGAACAGGTGCGTTTATGCGTTCCCATATACAGTTGCTAATATACATGCTCGATCCACTGGAGATGCTTTTTCAGCACCCAAATTCATCTGAATGGTCCACTGTTGTAAAGCCGGCTTTGCAGCGTTTCAAAATATGCATTTCAACTTCAACGGCATCTTGAAAGACACCAGTGCATCATCACAACCACCAAAGATGTCTGTTGGGCATGTGCACATATGACCAACAATTAAATAAAAATAGCGCAGATCAAATGCAAGAACCCACCCTGTGTGAACGGCCCCTTACATGTTTCAAGACTCTCCTCACCTGAAAACAATGACTTAATATTCATTTGCAAAATGTCAATAGCATGTAGCATAAACTACTCACTTTGTATAATACCACATCTCTTGGAGAAAAAAAAAATGTGAAAAGGGGCCCATTTAATGTACAGTTCTTATATACAAATCGACCGGTGGGTATAGAATAGAGAAGAGGGGTAACCAAAGCACTTTGAGTTTTGAGAGGTCCCTCTGTGGCTGCACTAATATGGAAGCAAGTCAGTTTAGAACCAACACTCGCTTGACCCTCAGATACTGGTGTGGTGAAACAGTGCAATACTGGTGGTCATTCACATTTCATCATCTCCCCTCTGAGCCAGCTAAATCTATTGCACAATGCTTTTTTCAGAGCTGTATACATGTATGTCTTAAAATCAGTTTTTTTTTTTTTTGTTCTTTGATCGCAACACATTGCAAGAGAAATTCTATCTACAACATGTCTCACAATTTAAATAAATCTGCATTCCCCGAATAAACAAAGTCCCACAAGAAAACAAACGAAACACTGCATTAAAAACATTCTGAGCAAAATACTCTAAAAACTAACGGTATCAGATGCCAACTTTGGTTAAAACAAATAAAAGAAAATACACATGAAACAAAACGGAACAAATAAAAAAGAATAGAAAACAAAACAAAGACCAAGTATTAAATATCTGTATTAAAATCATTTAAAAATCCAAAATGAAAACTGGGAAATGGGGCAGAGGAGCTATATATATTCTCTATATATTCATTTGTATGTAAAAACGATTTTTGTTTGTGTTCTTTCCCTTAAATAAAAATATAACATCGACAGTTCTGTGTGATCTCTGTGGCTCAGCTCAGCCTTACTGTACGTTCCCATGATGGCACTCTAGGCTCCTGCTCCTTTGTGCCTGTCACGAGCGGCCGAGCTTAAACAGTACCTCACACAGGATGGCCGCCACACCAGAGTTCAGCACGGAGGACAGCGAGATATCAAGAAGCCTGCTCTCGTAGAGCACAAACTCAGGCCTGTTCTCCTCCACTTGGGCCATGGCCAGCAGGGCTTTGGCGGCCCGGCACATCATGTTGATGCTGGGCGGCTCGGGATGGGTGGCGTGTCCCATGTGCAAGAGACTGTGAGGGCTCTGCTGATACTGTGCCATGGCAACACTGTCCTCTAGGAAATTTATCAAGGCTCCCACACTGCCCTTCTGCAGGGCAACGGCTCGGGCAGCTGTTGGGTCACCCTGTGCAAGATTGGAGAGAATGGCTACTGCCATCTCGCGGCACACCTGACTCTTTCGCTCACCAACATGCCGCACTAATGTGGCAAAGAGGCGCTCCTGTCTGCTAAAAGGGGGTGTGGCCAGCAGAAGGTCAACATTAGAGTCTTGGATGCTCAGTTTGCACAGACACTCCAGCACCAGCCTCTGCGGTGTGAGCGAGGAGAAGCCATTTGCCATGCAAAAGGGGTCCTGGGCCTCCGCCGAAGGGCACACCATCCAGTGGAGAAGCCCGTCCAGAATTGGAAGGCAGATACTTTCCGGATAGATAGACAGGTCTAGCTGTCCTGAAATGTTGGCAAGGGTGACCAAGGTGTTCTCGCGCAAGGCACCAAGGCAGTCCCACCACCATTCGTCCTTGCTGCAAGCCAGACCTCGCTCTTCCTCTCGCTGGTAGGTAGGTGGCATCCTTTTTCTTTTAGAGTGCTCATGGTGCAAAAGCACAAGTTTTCCAAGAATGAGCACTAAACCTGGGTGCTGAGCCAATTCGCTGTCACTGCCCGGGACAAAGGAGAGTCCACGAATGATATTGGACACACAGATGCAGCGCTTGGCCAACTCATCTTGCCAGCCCTCGGCTACTGAAAGAGGTGCTTCATCCCAGCATCGGGGCTCATCTTCCAGCAAAGTAATGCCGCTCTGTTTCTCTCTGCTGCGGAAGAGGAATGTCTGAGTTTCACCCTCTGATAGGAACCCTGGATGAGAACTTAGCATGTCATCCACAGTGGCTGTCAAGGTTTCCTCTGAGGGCCCTGGAAGTTCTCTTTTTAGTTCCTCTTCCCTCCCGTGCTCCTCTTCAACCGTTTCTTTTCCAGGAGCCCGTACACCTTCTTGATTCTTTGAAGGCTTCTGTTCTTCTTCCCTACGTCTCTCGAAATGGGTCTGGATGTGGGCAGTAGAGTCCCCTCCACCTGCCTTCCAATGCAGAAGCCCACTGGTGAACTCCCCGGCCAGGCCTAGCAGCTCTGATCGATCCTCCACACAATCAGCCACAGCCTCTCTCTCCTCAACTTTCACTGGGAGTTTGTCATACTTACTGGCTTGCTTGGGTCTGGGCTCCACTGGAGGACATGTTTCTTTACCAGTGTTCTTTTCGTCGGCCTTACCTTCTGCAGAGTCTTCCCTTTTCTCCATATTAAGTGCTGCTGCTGAGCTGCTGGGCTGAGGTTTCTCAGGCTCCACATCTAATCTCTCCACCTGTTCTGTATTGGATTGGCTTTTTAGGTCTTGATTGGAAGGTTGCTCTTTTTCTGTGGGTTCCGAACATGGACCAAGAAGAGTTTTCTGACCCTCTGTTCCGACTTCATATTCCTCAAGGATCCCGAAGATCTCTATTAAGCACCTTCTGAAATATTCAACAATGAGCTCCAAGAAACCAGGCAACTAGACAAGGAAAAGACACAAAACCCAATATTATCAATATATATAACCATTCATTATCAAAGTATATACACCAATCATTTCTCAGAAACTGCTATTAAAATACGACCACAAAATTTCAAAAGCATGTAAGACTTTTGCAATCATTTCCTGCCCTCTGAACCCAAGTCTTACAACACATTAGTGCCTGGTACACACTTACCTGAGATAAGCCAAAGGAAGACACTGTGTTGTCATCATATAGCAAGATGTTTATTGTGTCTAGGGCCCATGTGCTCTCAGCAAGCAAACCAGACTTCAGGGACATCATTACACGCCAAGCCTCTGGTGTGCCTTAAGATACATGAGCAGAGTTAGAACCTTGTCATAACCATACCATTTAGAAGTTGTTTATTACTGGAAGAGAACTTCTTACCAATTTCGTTGGATGTTAACCTTCGGCGGGGTTTAAGCTGAGGCTGCGTTCCCTCCACAGAGTCTAATGGGTAAGTGACCTCCCGATGGATTGCTGGGAAGCCTTGCCCAGGATGACCACCACTTTGAGAGTTTGGCATGGACCCTGGGCCACCCGGCTTTTGCATCTGCTTCATAGAGGCCATCATATGAGCCTTATTGGGTGACATAGAGCCACCCACAGACCGAGGGAATGGTGCAGGGCTCAGGACTCGAGAGATATGGTTTGGCATTGCTGGAGGAGATTGGTAGGAAGAAGGTGGTTGCCGGCTAGCCATGGGGGGCATGGAGCTGGCGGAGGACGAAGAGTGTGGTGGGTAGGGGGATTGACGCTGACCAGGCCACTGACTGTCCTGACTGGTCCTGACTTCTGGATCATCTCCACGGCTCATGGAGGTGTAGGGGGGCCCATGACCCTGCCGGCCGGGGTAAGGGTAACTCATGTCATGCCTGGTGTGCCACATGTTCCCCTGAGGCCCACCACTGGAGTTGGAGGATGGGGGTGGTCCACCACTCATCATGCTGTGCTGAGAAGGTCCCTGCCCACCTGGCTGCATGCGATCGCGTCCATATGGATAGGGGAACGGGCTTTGCATGGGCCTACGCTCTGGGTAACCATATTGGCTATACATGTCAGGCTGCTGGCCACTGTACTGCATACCATAGGCTTCACTCTCATGGCGCTTAGCAGGAGGGCCATAC